TAAATAGCTTCCGAACCCAGCCTGAGCAAGAGCGAGACCCCGTCTCTACCATAAATAGAAAGGAATTAATTGACCAACTAAAAATATATGGAAAAAATTTGCCAGACATGGAGGCACTTGCCTGTACTTCCAACTGCTCAGGAGGCTAAGGCAGAGGATGGCTTCAGTCCTGGAGGCTGAGTTGCTGTGAGCTAGGCGCTATTATGGCGCCCCAGCACAAGGCCACAGAGTGGGACTCTGTCTCAAAAAAAAGAAAAAAGAATAAAAAAAAGAAATATCTTAAGGGATGGGCATGGTGTCTCACACTTTCCATGGGAGTGAGAGGGAGGCCCAGGTGGGAGGATCCCTGGGAGCAGGAGTTTAAGTGGAGGGAGCTATGATGAACAGCACTACACTTCCCCCAGGGCGACCAAGTGAGACTTTGTTTCAAAAAAACAGAAAAGAAAAAGAAGCATCTTAAGTTGGTGTGCACCTTTTTATATTATTAAAGAGACAGCAGCTCCTTGGGGTAACCGAGATCTACAAACACCTGGGCCTCAGTCAGGGTCTAAGCAGAGTGCAAAACTTCTGTGTTCATGGTCGCTTCACTTTGGATGGCTCAGTCACCATGTATCCTATGAATCTTTCCCTAGCGTGACTACTTGTGTTGTAGACTGTTCTTATTTCCCTGAGAGTTAGTTTTGGGGAAGGGACAGTTATCATCTTTCTTCTAGCCTATGTGCAGAGCTCAGAATCATTTACTATAAAGGACATTAGGTCACAGGGTCAGAAACCAAGTGGAGCTAGTGATGTTGATCCTGTGTGTCAGGAAGCCCTGTGAGGACACCAGTGTGGTCCACTGATCATGAGAGTGACCATGACAGCAGAGTTGTCTACAACATAGCCCACTGGCTACCTCAAGTGCCTGAGGCTCGGGGAATCTCTCTGCTCAGCTCATTTGTGATGGGACTAGCATGCACACACCACCAGGCCCGACTAATTTTTTCTATATTCTTTTTTTTTAGTAGAGGCGAGGTTGTGCTCCTCTTCAGGCTGGTCTTGAACTCCTGACTAGAAAACGATCTGTCACCTCAGCCTCTATAGTGCTAGGACTTACAGGCTGGGACCTCTATGCCCACTCAGGATTTACAGAAGCCTGTCTAAGGTTGAGACCATCTCTACGAAAAAGAGATACTCTTGATCAGCGCGCATTTCATTTTAATTTTTGTTGCTGCTGTGATTGCCTTTGGGGACTTCTTCATAAACTCTGCCCTAGACCCAGTGTCTAGGAGTGTGTTTCCCAACACTTGTCCTTCTAAGAATTCTAATAGTTTCATACCTTAGGTTTGTAAGTCTATTATCCAGTTTGGAGTTGATTTTTGTGAGAGCGTGAAAGGTGTGGGTCCCTGGCTTTATGCCTTCTCCAACGTGGCGCTAGTCCAGTTTCCCAGCACCATTTACTGCGAAATGGGATTCTTTTCTCCATATACTGATTTTTTGTCCTGAGGCTGGGATCAATGATAAGATTGGCTATATGAGGATGGTTTAATATATATCAGGGATTTCTCAGATCTGTTCCACTTGGTTCAAATATTCCCTTTTTTCGGTGCCAATACCAACATTGATTTAGATCAACTACAGCTTTGTAATATAGGTTGTGACTATCTGTCAATA